TTCCTGGAGCCAGAAGATGGAGTGGTTATCTAAGCACTTTCCTGTTGGTCTCTGTGGTTTTATGGTGTAGACGAAGACATTTCTGCTAGGTGTGTGAGCCATAAAAGATGAAACTGTATTCAATTTGATTTTGGAGTCCCTCTCATGGTCCTGCTGGGCATTGGTGCTCAGGTATCTTTTCAGCCGAATTCATCAGAAACCTGAAATGAAAAGTGGTTGTTCTCACTGAATGTTCCTTGTTGTCACCTTTTCTCCAGTGCCTACCACTTCAAATCCCTGAGATTAGGCTTCTTGTGTCTCTCTCCTACTGCACAGGTCTCCCTGTGTTGGCTTAGTTGAGACTATGTGATGGGCTGATGAGATCATTTGGGCCTATGTGGAGTAATGTGTGAGCTACATATAGGAATCTTTATCTCAAAGACAGTGTAGTGCTAAGATTTTTGAAAGCCTTTATTAATCACTCCAGCAAGGCCATGCTAGAATTCAAAGGCCTTCTCTATTGCTTTGGTTCAGTGGTCTCATTTGAGCAATGCAGTAGCTGTCACATGGCAGAAAGTAGAGGCCCTCTAAGACTCCTTTGAGCACTGTCTCCTCGGTCTAAAAGCTCTAGAGGGGAAACTGAGTCAGCTGCTTGTAGGTAGCCATGAGCCAAGCTGCTCTGCCAGGAAAAAGTCTCAAGATATTCTCTGAAAGTTCCAGTGTGACCCCATTCTGCCTACAGGCCTCTCTTCCAGTACTGGAACCTTGGACACACACACACACACACACACACACACACACACACTTACTTCTTTTAGGAACGTCCTCGAAAGACAGAAACAAACACAGCAGGCAGTGGCAAGTATGATGTCAGGGCTAGCTCCAAGTGCTATAGAAGCTTGTTATTAATCCAGTGACAACACATTGGAGGTCTCTGAACATTCTTAGTGATGAACTCTTGCCTCCTTTCCTCTCTCTTTCCTCAGGATTCTCTGGCTGCTACAGATGCTTTCAGCTTAGGCATATTTTATGTGTCTATTGACAGCTCCATCTAACAGTGGAGTCAAGAGGAAAAGTTCATCTAGTTCCTGAAACATTTGGAGACTAAGTGACTACCATTTTTCATGAAGTCACAGCCCTTGCTTTATAAGGGCAATTTACATCATAACCATGAGTAAAAGCTTCAAGATCTGTTTGGGTACAATAGTACCTGGCATGGGAGGAAGAAAGGAAGCAGGACATTGGTTTTCTTTAAAAAGGAGTATCCCCAAGATTCCCACCCGAACATGGCAGAGCATCCCTAGTAGATTCCCAGCTAAGGATGGCAGAGCATCCCTAGAACTCTTATGCTCAGAGCAGAGTCTTCTGCTGTGCCAACACTGAACACCTTAGTGAGCTCTTTAGACTCAGATATATATTATAATATCACATATATGTACAGCTAAGTAGGTGAGTATCATAATTAAGGAGACATAATGGCTAAGTATGAAAGGTTTATTTATTAGAGAACACATAAAAGTTTATGTTGGGCTACACATAAGTTGCTTAAATTCATTCTTATTCATTAGAATTTGCCCAATTATCATCCTAGGATGTTTGTGCAAATGTATCCAATTCATTAATATTAAGCATATTCCAGCAATATTCCCAATGTTTAAAATGATAGTGATGATGGGCTGGTTAAATGGCTTTATGGGTAAAGGTGTTTGTAACCAAGCCCGAGGACCTGAGTTTGATCCCTGGGATCCATATGGTGGATAGAGAGAATCAACTTCCACAAGTTGTCCTGTGCCCTCCACATGTGCACTGTGGCATGCACGCATGCATGCAAGCACACACAATACACTGACGCTGTTCCTGCACACTCTCCTGCACACATGCCAGAGGTGTTCTTCAGCACAGCCTGATGCACCCCAACACTGAGTTCTAGGTATTATGGTCCCTGGGGGTGCTTGGATCAGGAGCTTAGGGACCACAGACCTGTCCCCTTGAGGCCTAGACAAGAGTGGGTATCAGGCAGAGGCTACACTTGGGGCACTGTGGGATGTTGTTTCTTTGGGGTCTGGGGTCTCAGGAAAGGGAATGAGGGTGTCAGGGGAGAACATGAAGTTAAGTTCAGACAGCTGGAAGCAGGACAGTGACTTCAGCCTGGAGGACCCTCCTTTGTATCTCCCTTCACAAAGGGAGTGCAACCATTAGTGAGACCAAGATGGTGGTGCGGTGGTGGTGGAGAAACTGGGCCACCAGCCCCAAGACAGTCCAGAACTGTATCTACTTAGACATCCAAGGGAACCGTTCTCGCATGAAATGTGGACACCTGCATGTTCATGGTTGCCTGGTTACTTTCAGTCCCTTACGGCATTGCTCTCCCCTGGCTTTCCTCACCTCTGTCTGGTTTCAGCTTCTTTTATGGGTTCATCTCTTTGCCACAACCCATTAACACTGGCTCTCTTCAGATGGCTTCCTCCTTTTCTCACTGTATCATCTGAGAACATCCTACCTCTCAGATTCCACTATCACATCAGTCTCTCAGCCTGGCTCTGCTTACAGCCCCGGGTGCACCAGTGTGAGGCCTCCGCTTGCTTCTTCCTCAGACCCCTCAACTCCTGTCTGCAGCCAAGATTGCTAAGCTGCTGTCTACACATCGTCCTTCTATTCAGATCTCTGTTCTACTGAGTGTCACACACTAGCTTTTTCCTGCCTTCCCTAGTCTCCTGATCTAATTTATTGTGTGGTCAGTAAAGTACTTTCCTGTGGCTCACCTGGCCCCCTGCAATTACTCTTCTGACCACTTCAGATTCAAGTTCTCATGCCATCAACGTTATCTTGTATCTCACTCCACTTATAAGTCTCATCTGACCCAGCTGGGAATTCTCCAGTGGCCTCTCATTGCTCAGATATTTAATCTGAGTTTCTTTTCTGGACTCTTGTGGTCTCATTTTTCCTAACTTCTCTTCCTGTATGTACCCCATCATCTCCCACCATCTTGCATTGCACACTGTTGGTATTTTGAAGTGCCACGGATACCCAATACCGTAATCTCATGCCCTCACGTGTATTTCCTTTGTTCAAATGTGCTCTCCGTGCCTCTTCTATTGAATATTAGCTAAAAACTGCCACTGTGAGAGCTCTCTCTGATCCCTCCAGGAAAGACTCAGCTTACCCCTTCCCTGTGTTTCCTAGAACCTTGAAGAATTGTTTTACTTGGATTTTCTATTAGCCCATATGTCTCTCATTTAGTTTGTAATGTTTGTGTGTGTGTGTGAGGGAATGCGTATTCTGACTATATCGTTCTTTTTCTTTTCTTTCTTTCTTTTTCTCTCTTTTTTTTTCAAGACAGGATTTTTCTGTATTCCTTTGGAGCTTGTCCTGAAATTTGCTCTGTAGACCAGTCTGACCTCGAACTCACAGAGATCCGTCTGCCCCGAGTTCTGGTATTAAAGGTTTGTTCTACCAATGCCCAGCTAGTTTTTATTTTTTTAAATAAAGATTATTATTAGTTTTTAAGTGTGTTCATTCATGCATGTGAATGCAGATGCCCATGAAGGTCCATAGGGCCCTGTCTCCCCAGAGCTAGAGTTACAGGTGGGCTGCCCATTGCAAGTGCTGGGGATTAAACTTGGGTCCTCTGCAAGAAGAGTACATGCTCTTAACCACTGAGCCATCTCTCCAACCCCATGTCTTTATTTTTCTACAATGCAGTATAACACACCCAATAGTTCAGTGGTCAGAATTTTAGGGATAAGGAATAAGTATAAGACTTGCTTAGTTTATTCAGACTGATCTATCAAGATTGCCATGCATGGAGTGGTTCATGAGCATGAGGGTTTGGTTTCTCACAGTTCTACAGGTAAGGAGTCCAAAATCAAGGTGTTGGCAGATTTAGTGTCTGGTGAAGGTCTGTTTCTCATAGATGGGACATTTTCACTACACCTTATATGATGGAGAGAACAGGGAATGCTCAGGTCTCTTTAACTAGGGACTAATTCTATTCATGTAGTGTCCACTCTCCTAATGTCAGCATGTTGGGGCTTAGGATCTTAATGTAAGAATCCAGGGAGACTTAAGCATTCAGGCTGTGGGAGTAGCTGAGACCCTCTTTGTGGAATAGAGCATTTTCAGTGCTGTAGGATCCCCTCTGTTCTGAACCACTCATACTCCAGCTATCTTGGGTTTCATGGTAACTACTATTCTTTCCATTCATACTACCTGTATATGAATCCTAGAACGTTTCGGTTTAGTTCTCTTGGGTCTTAAACTTGATGCAGGTGTGAACATATGCATATTTTGTTGCAGGTTTTTCCTTGTGTCATACACTTTATATGTGTTTGGTTACACATCTTCCTTTGTGTTGCTGTATAGTGCTTTGTGATAGAAATATTCCATGTATAATGTGTGCATTATGGGGTATTTGGTTTCTTTTCAGTTGGGGCTATTAGGATGGCTAATATATCCCATGAGTTTCTTTGGGGGTATAAAACTGGGATGGAAAGGCCTGTTGCATGGTGTGTTTACCTTCAGTTATACCAGATAATGAAAAACTGCTTTTCTAAGTTGGTCCTACTGTTTCTAGTCCTCCACTGCTGAGAGTGTCCAGCACTTTTATCTTGACCAATGTGTGTCATTACCAAACTTTAAAATGTTTATGTTTCTTCTTAAGTAAAGTGGGGGTGCCTTTTCACTTTCTTGGGACATTTGGATTTTTCTCTTTGGTGAAGAGCCAATTCAAAGTTTGTTCACCTTTCTCATGAATTATTTGTCTTTACATTATTGCTTTGTAAAAGTTTTTGTTTTGTTTTGTTTTTGTATCTTCTGGATTTGACTTCTTTGTCGATGTGTGTTGAAAGTAGCATACTGTAAAATCACACATTGAGTATTTATGGATTAGAGCAGTTCTTACTCTTTACCCTTGTGGTAATGAGCAAACAGAAACAGAACAATTAGAGGAGACAAATAACAGCTGACACCATTCACATTAATGCCCTCTTCCTCCATTAATGCCCTCTTCCTCCTCTTACCAGGTGTCATCATTGTCCCCAGTGCTGGCGTTGGCATTGTCTTGGGAGGCTACATTATAAAAAAATTGAAGCTTGGTGCAAGAGAATCTGCAAAACTAGCAATGATCTGCAGCGGGGTGTCTTTGCTGTGCTTCTCAACCCTGTTTATTGTCGGATGTGAAAGCATCAACCTAGGGGGCATAAACATCCCTTATACAACAGGGTAAGTACCTCGGAGGAGCATCCTGCATTAGCAGGGTTGCCATGCCAAGCTCTGTGTGGCTCTACACCTGGCCCACACTGCCTTTGCCTCCCTCCTGCTTTATGAGTTTTGTCTCTGCAACTGGAGCTCATGCTCTTGGAGGGTGGAGGCCACAGGGTGTCTGTCACCTTTGCTGTGTTCCTTTTAAGCCTCAGAGTGACTTCCATGGCATTTTAAATAAAGGAGAATCAGAGATGCTTATTGTGTTAATTAAATTTTTTTTCCTTAAGTTCTTAATGGCTGGAGAGCTAGCTCAGTAAAGTGTTTGCCTGGCAAGTATGAGGAAATAAGTTTGAACCCTAGAACCCTAGTAAAAATGCCAGATGCCCTTGTAATCCCTTTGCTGGGGAGGTGGACGTGAGCAGATAGATGCCTGTGACTGACCAGCAAGTCTAGTTTAATCGGTGGATGGAGGCTAATGAGAGACCATTTCAAAAATCCAGATGGAAAGTTCCTGAGGAGCAGCACCTGAGCGCGTGTGCACACACATCTGTACATACATGCACACCCATGAACCTGCACCCTCACCAAAACCCCATCAAATTTATTTCACTATGAAAAGTTCTCCACCTACCTACTTCTTCTCACTTCTGCAAACTAAAGCAAACTAGACAGTACCTTTTCTTTTCTTTCCTTTGGAATGCATTTCCATTATGTTTCCCCTCCCCCAACCTCTCCCAGATCCTCCCTTCCCACCTCCCCTTCCCACCTGTATTAAGGCTGAGTATGTTATTCCACCATAGGGAATGGGCTCCAAAAAGCCAGCTCACATCCTGGTGTCACTGCCTGTCCCCCAACAGATCAAGTCACATAACTGTCACCCACATTCAGAGGGTCTAGTTCAGCCCCGTGTGGGTTCCCCGGCTCTCAGTCCAGAGTCCACGAGCTGCCACTGTTGTGGATCAGCTGTCTCTGTGATTTCCCCCATCATGGTCTTGAGCCCCTTGTTCATATGCTCCTCCCTCTCTTCAACTGGACTCCAGGAGCTCAGCCCAGTGCTTGGCTGTGGGTCGCTGCATCTGCTTCCATCAGTTACTGGATGTAGGTTCTATGATGACAATTAGAGGAGTCACTAATCTGATTAAAGGGAAGGCAAGTTCAGAACCCTCTCCACTATTCCTAGGAGTCTTAGCTGGGGTCATTGTTGTGGATTCCTGAGAATGTCTCTAGCACCAGGTTACTCCCTAATCCCACGATGGCTCCCTCTATCAAGATATCTCATTGCTCTTCCCCTCCGTCCCTCCCCAAGCTCCATCTTCTTGACCCCTCATGTTTCCATCTCCCATCCCCTCCCTTCTACACCGCTAGTTTACCCAGGAGATCTTAACTATTTTCCCTTCCATGGGCCCTTCATGTGTGGTTTGGACATTTCTGTATCATTAGTAAGACTATGGAGAACAGTCAGCTCTCACCTCAGAACACGCCAAGCATTCTTCTATGTGCCTTATATACACTATTAATTTAGGAGAACTCACAATATTATTAGGCAGGTACAATTATCCTGCATTTTTAGTGACAAAACTGAAATGCAGACCAAACTGATCATTTGTTGGGTTTTTGGCCATGCCACTTCCTTACCAAGACTTCTCCCTCTTCACTTCAGTCACATTTCCCCATGGTATTTAGCAATATAAAACTATCTGGTTTGATTGGTTCCTTTGCACTTACCTTCTTGAGCTAAGTCCCCAAGACAAGCTCTGTTGTCATCGATGTAATAGCTGCATCTCTCACATCTAACACAGTGCTTGATGTTTTGTTCCATGGATGGATGGACTGATGAATGGATGGATAAGTTGTTGGGTGGATTGATAGGTGAGTATATGGTGAGTGAGTGGATAGATGGAGATTAGAAGGTAAGGGGATGGATGGCTGGATATCTAGCATCTTGTTCATTCATTATGCTGCCCACTTGATGGACCCTTTTAGCTAAACATGCCTTTCCCCCCTGAACTTAAAGAATTTTTTTCCTACTATATGTTTATCCATTTTTGCCTCTGTCTTAGTCACTTTTCTATTGCTGTAAAGAGATAACATGAACAAGACAACCATTATAAGATAATGCATTTAATTGGGGCTTGCTTACAGTTTCTGAGGTTTAGTTTGTTATTATTATGACAGGAAGCATGGTGACATATAGTCGGGTGCTAGAGCTGTAGCTGAGAACTGCATCCTGACTCATAGGCAGGGAGACTCTGGGCTTGGCATGGACTTTTGAAACCTCAAAGCCTACTCTCAGTGACACACCTCCTCCAGCAAAATCATACCTATCAATCCTTCTAATCTTTTCAAATAGTTCTGCTTCCTGGTGACTAAACATTCACATAAATGTGCTTATGGGGGCCATTATTGTCAATTCCACTCCATGGCCCCCAAAGACTTATATCAAACATGCATTCAGTCAAACATAAAAAGTCCCTATAGTCTCAACATGGTTTAAAAGTCCAGAGTTCAAAGTCTCCTCTGAGACTCATGGCAGTCTCTTAACTGTAATTTCCTGTAAAATCAAAATAGAAAAGCAGAACACATACTTCCAACATACAGTGGCACAAATGTACATTATCATTTCAAAAGGAAGGAAAAGAAGCATAAAGAGGAAATATTGGACTAAAGCAAGACCAAAAACCAGCAGGGCAAACTCCAAATCTACATCTCCATGTCTGATGTCTGATTTCCAACCCCATTCAGCTTTGTTGACTGCAACATACTTCTCTCTCTTGGGATGGTTCCATACCCTGTTTGCAGCTTTCTTTGGCAGGTATCACACAACTCTGACATCTCCAGCAGCTTGGGATATCTAACACAATCCAGGCTTCATCTTCACAGCTTCATGTAATAGCCTCTTTGCAGGTACCCCCCTGACACATGCCTGGCCTCAGCAGGTTTTCTTAGCTATCGAAGGAGATTCTACAACCCCTTTCTTGTGTCCTTGACTCTAAAGCTGTCAAGTTATGCCATTTGATGGGGCTGGAGTTTGTTCAATTATTACAATTGCATCAGTTTTCTGATATTGATCCTTTTATTTACCACTTAAGCATTTATTTAATTATTCATTTTCACAGATTGGAAGTTTAGATGGGTGGGGTCTTGCACTGAAGTCACCACCCCTTTTATTCCATTTAACATCTGGCTTTTCTTTAAACTTTTTATTTCTGTATTCTCCATTACATTTCCTGGCACTCCTTTTCTTCTCAAACTGTATATTTTCCTTGCTAAGCTTGGTCCTTTTCATTATAGATCTGCATAAAAGTTACCACTAATAACTGCAAGACAGGATCAATACTAGGTTGTCTTGAAATCTCCTTTGCAAATGCCATTAATCCAAGACTCTTTAATTTAGCTTCAGAAAGATTTGGTGGGGGCGGAGGGAAAAAAGCAGCCACATTTTTCTCCAAAATATCACAAAAACGGTCTCTAGGCCACTTACTAATATTATTTCCCTTCCAGTCAGGTCATTATAATCTATATTACTCTCAGCACCACTGTCTTCCATGCTCCTACTAGGATGGCACAGAAAACTCTGTTTAAAATGCTCCTGCTTTTTTAGTCCAAAGCCTCAAAGGCTTCCATATTCCTACAACAAACAGCATGGTGAGGCCTGTCACAGACATACCCCAGTCTCCAATCCCCAGTCCCCAGTCCCCAGTACCAACTTCTATTTTAGGCACTGTTCTATTGCTGTGAAGAGATACCACTTCCAAGCAACTATTATAAAAGAAAACATTTAATTGGGGGATTACTTAGAGTTTCAGAGGTTTGTCCATTATTATCATAGTTGTGGCATGCAGGAAGACATTGGAGCAGTAGCTGAGATATTTTGGGCTTGGCATTGTCTTTTGAAACTTCAAAGCCCACCTCAAGTCACATACTTCCTCCAAAGTCCACACCTCTTAATCCTTCTAATTCTTTCAAATAGTGCCACTCCCTGGTTACTAAGCATTCAAATAAATGAGTCTAAGGGGGCCATTCTT